AGCAGGAATCACAACAATGAATGGTTTTTGGTTTTATTATACCACCATACCGGGTTGTGAGCTTCAAAGCTCTAAATAGTGCAACAGATAACGCTGCAAGCTGCAAGAAAAGAAGACCTGTAAACTTTTACATCCTTCCAAAGAGAAAAGGACAATCAATATGAACTGCAATTATGTTATAAAGGCTTCACATATGATAAAATGACCAGGATAATAATTAGGTCAAACCATAAAGGGACATTAAATTATGGCCCGTATAAGGAAACCTCTCCAACTTTAGAAATTTTGATTTGCAGACTAAAATTATTCAAATGTTCTATTTGAACCCTTTTTGCTTGTTTCAGGTAATTTGCCACTTCTGTTGTATCTTTACCCATCCGAAAAATATCATTTTGTCAATTAGGAGTTATGTGTTGGATAAAAAATGATAGAAAAAAACAGAAGGGATCCAAACCAAAAACTTTAATTGTTTGATAAGTAAGCCATCCCAAGGCTTGATGCTTTCTACCAGAAAATGGCCACAAAAAATGAAGATTAATCCTCCATGAAGAAAGTTTTCTCATAAAAGTAGCAAATTTATAATCAATACAAGCAAATAAATAGGGGAAAATCTAGAATCTGGAAGCAGAACCAAGTTCAAGAGATCAGGATACTACCTCCTCTAGAGTCCCTTCGCGAGTTTCAAGAGCACACGACAAAGCAGAATGAAATGATCTCTTTTCACTGACTGAACTTACAACATGAAAGTTATTATGAAACTGCAAATTTTACAAAACAGCGTCAACTATGACCCAAGAAAGCTGGTCTGATTCATATTGAAGAATATATATAGAGTATAAACTTACCCAATGGGCAAGAGGAGATAAAGCCTTAGCATGAAGTTTTGAGTCCTCTAATGTATTCGACAAATGCGCCGGTAGAATAGAAAGTAAAGAGGCCTGTCATTATAATATATTTTCTCAGATGCAAGAAAATAATGGTAGTACATATCTGTTTATTTCACCATTTGATGGGACAAAAAAACAAAAATTACATTTTGTGTCTGAGGGAGAGATGCACAAAGGACGTCTAGCAAATCAAACATAATCCATACCTTTTCCAATTCTAGTAAAAACCTTTAGACAGTGCAGACAGTGTGAAAACCAAAAGGCTAGTAATGCTCAGTATTAACAAACAGACTAAGATATGGAAGTTAAAATCAATCACAACACCCATAAATCTTCAAGCCATGGCTAGATTGTACATTTCATTAAAAATTTATTGTAGCTGACCTGAATGAGAGGATCATCACAAGCATGATCAATTATTCTGCCCCTTGCAAGTAAACAAAGCAGGTGAACCTTATGCACAAGCTCAGCCAATCCCTGAGGAAGAAAGAGTGGTCATCTTTTTCATTCATTAACAAGATGCACAAAATATTGCATGTGCAGGTGCTAGTGAAGGAAGTGCATTTCACCTTTTCTTCAGCAGTAGCTCGATGAATGGGCTTCCGTTTAGCAGAGTCAGGCAACTCACTGAATTCAATAGTCACCTCCCTAATGCCATCACCTGGATGATTTTTTACATGACCCAGTATGGAAGACGAACCATCTTCCCAATCTATGTCATCCATCTCTTGATCACTCTCCTGAAAAGTAGTCTGAAAACATCCCCCTTCAACTTCTCTAGTGTCATTTGTGGCAGGATCTTGAGCAAGACCTCGAGCATCCAAGTCATTCCAAGTAACTCTTGCATCTGCAACTTGTTCTCCATTACTTTTTAGCCCATTCCCACCCTGAAGATAAAATCAGAGGAATAGGGAGAAAAAAAAGAAAAAAGAAAAAGTTAGATGTAGTTGATACCAACAGTGAAAGAGCATCATCCAAGTTACGCTTTCATTTTCTAGGAAAAGGGAAGAGAAGTGCCAAGAACTTTAAAAATTCATCATTACTTCTAAACTATGCAAACAGTAAATCAACCACCCAAGTCCCTCAGAAAGAAAATTCACTAAATCAAGAAACTTATTTGGCCAAATCTTCTCTATCATATAATATCAAAAGGAACCATCGCTAGAAAATATAAGCAGTCTCATTAGGCTAAATAAACTAACAGTGGCAGCAGAATCACATTGCAGCCGATTATCTTGTTTCTTCTTCCCAGATGATCCCCGCCCCTTCACACGTCTTACAAGCTTATCCACTGCCTCATTTGACATGTGAGCTAGACTTTCACTATCCACATCACGTATAGCACTCACTGTACTCTCCTTCCCTGCCAAAACAAGAGGGCATAAACAAATAAGTCTAAATCAAAACGAATGGTACAAATTGATGCAGTGCAGTTTTTTATCATAAAAATCCACACCTCTTAAAGCAGCCCACACTCAATATTCTAAATAAAATTCAATTTAGAGCAACAGAAATTAAGTAAGGATTCAATCTTTTACCTGATAAAATACATTGTTTTCAATAACACTCAATTTGGAGCCACTAAAGTTCCAAACTTTGCATCACAAAATGAAAACCAACAAGAACCCATGTCTCAGTTTTTCTATATTACCAACTTTTCCGACCAAGAAACATAAGATTCAAACTAAAAACAAATACCCATCAACACCCTCAAAGGAAATTCAGCAATTTTATACAACGACAAGGAAAAAAAAAAGAACTTTTAAGGAAATCAAAACACCCATTTGTTTCATATTAAAAGCTAATGTTATTGTAAGAGACAATAGTTGAAATGACAGTACCTGAAGATTGTTTGCTGTTGCTTCTTGTACGCATTTTGTTGTTGTCTGAGATTTTCACAAAGCAAAAAATAAAGGGTCGCGCGTAAAACTGTTGCGGGGTTTTATTTGCAATTGGAGTTTTATGGTGAGTGCGCCTGTAGTCGCGTGGACGCAGGGAGAGGGAGGTGCTTATTTAGGACATCTTTGCATCTCTCAAACTAATTTTTGAAAAATAATTTTTTAAATTTTTTTATATTTATTTATTATTAAAGAATTGATTAATAAAAAATATTTTTAATAAAAAAATTAGTTTAATTTTTAGAAAAGTGTTTTTCTAAAAATTTTAGATAAAAAGTACTTTCTAAAAATTATGAAAATTTTAAAAATATCATATTATTTGATAATTATATCAAATTTGGTCTTCAAACTTTTAATTATTATATATATTTTATTTTGAATATTTATCATTCAATTTTATCTCTTAAAATTTAATTTTTATATTAACTTTAGTCCTCATTTTTATAATTGTTATTTGCTTTTTTCTTATTATTTTTTTATTAAAAATTTTTATCTATCAAATTTGATACTTATTTTTTTTTGTTATTTATTTTATTTGAAATAATTTATAAAATATTAATATTATTATTTTAGTTTCTTCATCTTTATTTTTTTCTTTTTTTAAATTTGATCTCTATTATTTTGATTATTATTTATTTTATTTGAGATAATTTATGAAATCATATGTTTTTCAATTTCATTCTCATTTAAATTTTTAATTTGTAAGATTTGTTTCTCATTATTTTAATAAACTTAAGAAAAATAAAACATTAATAAGTTATTTTTTAGCTCATTTTCCATGATATAACCAAAACACTGGAAAGTATTTTTCAACTTATTTTCTATTACACTACCAAACATAAAAAAATAATTTACTTTCTCGAAGTTTACTTTCCAATAAAAAATTAATTTCCAGCAAACAAACGGGTTAGATTGTTTTTGTTTTTTCATCCAACTATGTTTTTTAAATTTTTTGTATTTTTAAATTTTTATCTATAGATTATTATTTTGAAAGTTTTAAAAATAATATATATATATATATGTATTATTTTAATATATTTTTAAGTAAAAAAAACATTTTAAAAAATAATATCTACCATATTCTCAAACATATTTTAAATAATTAATAATAATATTTAAAATAATAATTATTAAACTTGAATCATGTTTTGACTTAACAAAGTCTAAGTTACAAATCAAATATGTTAACCTAATAAAAATAATTATAAAAGATAATGTGATATTATTTAAAAAATTAATTTAAATTTTAATTGAATTAATTCTAAATTAATTTTTTTATCAACCCACCTCAAATCAAGGGGGGTTAGCTTAATCTCTATATCAATTTAAAATGTATTTAAAAATATAATAGAAGCGCAATTTCTATGTGAATTTAAAATATATTTAAAAATATGATAGCAGCTACAATTAAAAATATTTTTCAGTTATAAATATATTAAAATTATATATATTTTTTATTGTTTAAAAAATTATTTTGCCTCATGCGATACAATAAACGGCACATAAATTCATGATTGGTTAATTCAGCTGGTCCAATTAACATGATTGCTTCAATCTAAATCAATCCATCCAGTGTGATATGAAAGAATTTTGTTGTTGTGATGATTAGCAAATGGTTGTGTTCATGAACTTGCTCATGAGAACCAATGCCCTTAACATCCACAGAGACAAGAAGATGAAGACGCCACAAAAACAAGAAGATGAATTCAAAGAAAGCATAGAGTAGATTATGTACATCACATCACATATCACTACCAATAACATTACATTAGCATACAAAGCCCTAGCAAATATAGCATCAAGAAACATGGAGAATTCACTCTTAGCAACTTCATCTCCTCTTAACTAAACCCAGACTCCCTTCCAAAGGGACATCAACTGGAGTTGTTTCTTTGGCCAGCTTACCGAATCCCGTGATGTTAGCCTGGATCATATCATTTATCCTTCCATTGCCATCTGATGAAGCATCACATCTTTCCAGGCCCCCTTCTCCTAGCTTCAAGATGTCGCTCGACAAGCTTGATAATTGCGAGTGAACATTAGAATCTATCATTTCCTTCAACTGATCAGCAAAAGTCTGTGACCTACTGATCACAGGATTATTTATGGATATGAAATCCTTGTTTGAAACCTTAGGTCCTACAGTATTAATCTGGAACATGAGTGAAAGATGAGACAGGCTCAGCCTTAAGAGTCTCTTTGAAAGCATGTAAAGACTGGAACTAGCAATTGCGTTTCTGACGCCGAAGCAACTCATCCGTACTAGACTCGCCAGATTGATTAGGCAATGCTTCCATGTCTTGCTGAAATGAAGGGGTCTGGAGCCTTCCTGTCTACATAATTGGGTTAGAAAAGCTGTCCAAGTTGATTGATCTTGAAGAACACAATATGAACAAAAGTAACTAATTACATGGGGGATAACATAAGGGCGAGTTGCAATCCCCATGACTATGCCAAGCAAACATGAAAGCGCCAGTCCAAGAACCCAAAATTTAACAGCTCCGAGTGCTGCAAGTTTAAAAACGATAAGATTCATTAAAAAAACGAGAAGCCTTGAGTTCAAGATAAATCAGGCCTACTATCCACAAGTATGATACAGTGTCAATTTAGCTCTGTAAGAACCTGAAGTAAAAGATTGCAAGATGTTCAGATTCTCACCAGATTGAGAACCAATTACACAATCCTCTGGCTTAAGATCAATCTGGCGAAGCAGTTGATTTCCATGATCTGAAATTAGCAAAGCACATATTTGAGGGACAAAAAGCACCTCAAAATCACTGGAGAATGTTGCAGTTTTCCCCGGACCATCTTGCCGCCCTGTCTGGGAGTAATTACCGACAATGGTGGAGGTCACCCCTAAAAAACCAGAAAAAGAAAACAAGTGTCTGTAATTTGCTTTTCTTCCAATACACAAGCAAAGCTAATCCCAATTGAATGCAAAAATATGTGATCACAAGCACCTGAGTTGCTTATCTTTCTGACAGCATGGTTTTGTTGATCAGCCACATAAACATTCCCTCTAAGATCAACAGCAAAACTCTTTGGTTTATTGAACCGAGCCAAACCCGGTTCTCCATCTATGTACCCAGTTTTCCCCTCTCCAGATAACCGTTTAACCATCACGCTGGCTGCAATTTTGGAATTAGAAAAACTCGAGTTAACGAATCTGGTGCTACACCTTTGGTTACAAACAAGGTATAATCTTTATAAAAAATTACACTATATAATTCAACACTTCAAAAAAGAAAAGAAAGAAACAGTAACGTGAAATGGAATTAATTATTACCCTGAGAGATGGGAAATGGTAGAGTGTAAAAAACACTATGAGAAGAATCGAGGACAACAATATCAGATGATCTAAGCTGAACTGCATGAGGGTTTATGTTTAATTTATGTCCATCCAAAACTGTAGTTACCATGTACCCATCTTCTAGCATGATCTGATCTCCTGTCACTGAAACATAGGGCAGTTTATTAAAACTTTCTTAACAAAATAAAAGTAAAAAACCAACGTGGTGAGAATGAAAATTTACCATGAATTGAAGCTAGGTTGAAGAGGAAGAGGATGAGGATGAGCAAAGAGAATTGAGAAGCCATGGGGACTGGGGAGATTTTGATGGTGGTTTTGGTGGAGTGGAGAGAGTCCTTGCAAGTGAAGTCTTGATTCTTTATGGTCTTAATCCAAAATTGGAGTTACCATGTCCCCATCTTTTAACATGATATCATGATTAAGGGGTAGATAATTATTTTTAAAAATATTTTTTATTTAAAAATATATTAAAATATTTTTATTTTTTAGAAAATAATTTTTTATATTAATAAATGAAAATAATTTTAAAATATTAAAAAAATATTTTTAAAATATAAAAATAAATAAGGTATGTCTCCTTTATTATTAGGTATAATTGTGCTTTTTTAAAATATATTTTTTTATATTAATGTTAAAAATAAATTTCAAAAAAATAAAAAAATTATTACTTTTCTATATTTTAAATCAAAATATATTTTAAAAATAAATATTTACCACACTCTAAATAACTTCTTAATTTCACTGGGTTTTTATCATAGTTATTAGAAGTCTTGTCCAACTAATGAATTGAATTAAAAAAACCTATAATTTAATCCTTTTTAAATTAAATTAAAAATATTAATTTTATAAAATTTAATTATCTCAATTGGGTTTTTAGTGATTTATATTAATTTTTCCAAACTTGATAGGGTTAATTAAAAAACAAATATTGTTAAATTAACATAATGGACCTGGTGATGATTTGGAACTTTTTCCAACTGAGTTCCTAGCCAGGATCTGACAACATATGTTCTATTATCATTTTTTTTTTACTATATGCTAATATGTTGTTGTTCTTTTTCAATAATTAAAGACACATCTCACATCAATTTGGTATATTGAATAAATTCTTTTAAATATTGATTTAAGATCTGAATTCAAAAACCTTCTATAGTTTATTCCTTTTATTATTATTATTATTATTTTCATTTATTATTTCAGAAATTGTTTTTTACATTCTTCATCAATTTAATTATTTAAATCTAAATGAAAAGATGAATTTATCTTTGTATATAACCTAAACACCCATAAATAACATATTAGTGAAACAAAACCTCTCAAATAAATTATGAACTCATATCTAAATCTAATACCCTCTAAACATTAAACATAAATGCGATGGATTTAGAGTGACTTCAAAGTTAATCAAAACCACTCAAATAAAAAGATAAATTTTTATTTTTTACTCAATCATATAAAAAAATTATTTAATTAGTGAAATAGCTTTAATTTTTTTTTTATACTAAGCTTGATGTATAATTATATCTCAAATCTTGGTTTTGTAGAACCCTGCCATTTTAAAAAGTTTTGATTTTTTTATTAAAAATAATTATATTTATGTTTTCAGATCATTTTAATATGTTAATATTAAAATTAATTTTTAAAAAATAAAAAAATATTATTTTAACATATTTTCAAGTAAAAAAATTATTTTGAATCGTAACTGCTATTATAATCTTAAACATATACTAAAAATTATTTAACTTTGTGTTTCTACTTGTGTTTTGGTGTGTTTTAAAAATACGTTTGGGAAAAAAATCTATCGAATTGATATATATATTGTTTTTGTTACGGTGCTCGTCTTTCTGTGGATATATACCTTAATAGTTGATAGCCGAATTTCAATGAAGAGAAGGGGAGAAGAAAAATGCTAGGCTGGTGGCTAGGAATTTTTTCAATTTGATAACAAAATTGTAATATTCAACATTTTAGGATTTTTAAAATTATTGATTATAATATAATAGTAATTTTATGAATAATCCAAATTTTTTTGTGGATTTTTTGAGTTCGCATTAGTGAGAATTAAAGAATTATATAACTTATAAGCTAAGAAAAGTAAATTGTAATTTAAAAGAAAAATTGAGATAAATTACAAAATCTTGAGATGGTTTTATTACGATACAAAATTTAAAAGGATTCATATATCAAATTTCTCAAATTGATCTCTCCGGACTATTGGAAATTTTTTTTACAGATTTCATTATAGGATCATTTTTTTTTATTGTTAATTTACTAATAACACTTTTATTTTATGGAAAATATTTAATACATTTTAAATAGGATAGCGCTATTAACTACTAAAAATATGGTAGCAAAAAGCTCATTTGCTCTGTTTCTTTTATAGATAATGTTTGATTATTATCTCAAAACAGGAGAAATGAAGATAATTTGTCTTTCATTCTTTGAAATGACATAAACCCCCTTCAAATCAGCCCCTAAAAACTATATATATATATATTCATGGTGCCAAAGGTTCGTTATCTTCATTGATTTTATGAATTCTAAATTTGAGATCAGCATGTAGGAAAATTTATTATCTTCATAGATCAAGCTAATTTAATAGATGCGCCTTAAGATAATCTAAAAAGAAAATTTAGTTTCCATGGATAAGCAAACTAGTTTAGAATTCTTGATTATCGGGGGAAAAGGGTTCGTGTTCACTGACACAGGTTGCCATTAATGCAAATAACTTTAATCATAGTTTTTCATTTGTCTTTGTAATACTTGTTATTGGAGCTAACAATGTCACATTTTAATGGGATTTTTGCAGCTAGAATATGCAGCAAGGGAAAAGGATGTTTCACTTGTGTGGCAATGCTACGATAGGTATTGTCACTAAGTATTGTCACTGCCTATGATGATATTTTGTCCAGAATATAATCACCAAATAGTGCTTTGTCCACTTCCCTTTAGGTTAAAAAAGCAGCCATTTTCAACCATCTAGATAGTGACCAAGTGATAAAAGTTTGGAATCAAGAGGTTTGCTCTTTCTGTGGCAAAAAGCTCATTTGCTCTGTTTCTTTTATAGATAATGTTTGATTATTATCTCAAAACAGGAGAAATGAAGATAATTTGTCTTTCATTCTTTGAAATGACATAAACCCCCTTCAAATCAGCCCCTAAAAACTATATATATATATATTCATGGTGCCAAAGGTTCGTTATCTTCATTGATTTTATGAATTCTAAATTTGAGATCAGCATGTAGGAAATTTTATTATCTTAATAGATCAAGCTAATTTAATAGATGCGTCTTAAGATAATCTAAAAAGGAAATTTAGTTTCCATGGATAAGCAACCTAGTTCAGAATTCTTGATTGTCGGGGGAAAAGGGTTCTTGTGTTCACTGACACAGGTTGCCATTAATGCAAATAACTTTAATCATGGTTTTTCATTTGTCTTTGTAATACTTGTTATTGGAGCTAACAATGTCACATTTTAATGGGATTTTTGCAGCTAGAATATGCAGCAAGGGAAAAGGATGTTTCACTTGTGTGGCAATGCTACGATAGGTATTGTCACTGCCTATGATGATTTTGTCCAGAATATGATCACCAAATAGTGCTTTGTCCACTTCCCTTTTGGTTAAAGAAGCGGCCATTTTCGAGTAATTGACTTCATTTGCTGATTTGCTACCACCACTCAGCCATATAAACCCACTGACATCAGCAGCACTGGAACTTGGAGAACATCCATTTCTTCTCGTTCTAGTTTGATTCTGGTTTCTGCAAGTCAATTGAATTTGAACTCACCACAAACCAGAGCATGATACACCCCGACAGAACCTAGATCGATATTTGAATGAATATCATCTCTTGCAACTGAAGGCTCCTGTTGTAAATCAATGATCCTACCGAAAAAGAAGTTCGATCTAGCATGAGAGTTGGATTGAGCGAGATTTTAACAAAAAGAAGCAAAATTATTCTGTAGTAGATTATTTTACAACATTTCCAAGACCTTTCCAAATTTTAAAGTGAAACCGTGGCCTATCTGCAAAAAAAAGTCTAAGAAGAGGTGATTGTACAAAAATTTTGAACACTTTCCAGAATGCCACTTGCAGAAATTCTAGCGGGTAATTGCCCCCATTACCCGTATGGAAAACCCACCATTTTGTCTGTCCCGGGAAACCATGGTTCTCCAAGAATGATAAGATTAAGGTCAGCCAGTCATCCCAGGGAAGAGCTCTGATATTTTGTTGAAGACATCCATAACCTGCAATCAGAGAGAAAACGCCCCACATTCTCCTGTTCAGATATTTAAGTGATCTATCTAATTGATGCAACTTAAACCCTATCAAGCCAGGGCATTTCTTCGACAAACAAATGATAAGCATTGTGAAAGAGTGCAAGAACAAAACTAAAGCATGTTATAAATTGTAACTGAGCTGGTAAATAAAAACATTACCGGTCAAAGATGTGGAAAACAATTTTACAACAAAAGAATATTATTTGCAAATGTCTTGAAAATCTATCTAATGTTTTCAAGTAAATTAACCTTGAAAATATCCATGTCAATGAGGTACCTGCTGGAAAACATAAATCCAGCACTCCACATAACAATAGACACTTCAAGAAGCAGTGTATTCATCCAGTAAACAATTGACCCTTTAGACATTTCAAAAAACAAACACCAGTAGCATAATGGTGTAGCTACAGTGACAAACAATTTTCAATGATTGATGAAGGATGTCTGAGATCAGAAGAGATAGGGCATACCTCCTTGTCATTCTGATATTTGCTAATGTTAAGTGGGTTCTGTGAACACTGCAAAATGGACAAAATATTAGAGAAATGATTTCTAGATTTAAAATAATAATAATAATAATAATAAGTCAATTGCAACATACCTCCATTATGGCTTGTTGAACTCTTGGATTTTGAAATGCCATGGCAACATCCGGATTGGCCATGATTTTTGAAATTACTTCCTCAGGTGTAAGGCCAATTTGATCTGCAAAACATAAATGACCAGAGAACCAGATGATAAGAAAAAAAAGCTGATTTTCTAATTACAGGTTATCAAATGTAAAATCAGAATCAACAAAAAAAGAAAGAAAAGTTGAACAAATTTTAAGTACATCAAGAAAATCCTGCAGTTTTGGGTAAGCTGAATCCTGATCATTGGTGGATTTATAAATCCTTGGTATCTTAACCAAGAACTGACCAACCCTGATATTTTTACCAGAGCACAAACAACTTCATGTTAATAGAACCAAAACTCATGTTAATCATGATATGAAACTGTTTAAGCATTTTTTATTTATCCCTAAACAACACATTTCATTAAGCAATGGCAAATCAGTCTGATAAAAAGTCAGCGCTAAATGCAATCTGTGCAACCACTGAA